CCGCATTCGAACTTCACATTGATGCCATCACAAAAAGTGTGGGAGATGGGATTTTAACATGGTAATGTTGCATTCCCATATTCCACACATTTGTGATGACTTTAATCTGAAGTCCAATCGCGAATATCTTGAAAACTAGGCCGAATTTCGGGAAACAGACTTCAGGGTAGGTCATAGGTGGGTTAGGTCTAGTGAAAACCGTTTTGTGTAAAAAAGGTGGCAGTCTTCCTTTAAGCCAAAAAAAATCATCAAGAAAATAAACAGTTGTCCTGCCCTCTGCTATTAATGTATTACGCCATTGGGATATGTGAAACGTCATTTCTCCATCGTGCAGGAAGAAGCATGCGTGGGAAATACCTTCCTACACTTGGCCTTGGCTAATGTTTTGGCCTGACCTCGTATTTATCGAAAATACCTCGGGCCTAACTTTACATTCGCTAAAAAAATCAGTCAGATCTAAACATTATTCCAGCCCTGGCCAGGAATATATTGTCTACGATGATCGGCTCGAGCCCAGTTATATAGAAGAAGAGTATCCCCCCCCCCCCGGCACGATGTGTTGCTAGCGGAACACCTCATCCGAAAAGGTGTGCTTGTGATCGTTCAAAACTCACCGTCTTTGTCGGCCGACTCCACGTTTATCATCGTCTGGGCATACGAGTACTTCTTCGCGGTATGTCTGATTTTGTGCACGACATGCTCCTTCACGTCCTCCTCGAGCCCCATGATCATTCCCAAGTCAGTCCACACCTGGAAACATCGCAAAATCACATTGATGAATGGAATTAACATCAAGCAGCATCAAGTGAACATTATATCATTGTGGAAGGTCAGGTCAGGTAAGGTCAGGTCAGGTCAGACAAGGGAGCCCAGTTCTGACTCTCGGGCGGGCGCAGACTCAGAGCCGACTGCAGCGCGTGGGGTAACCGGTCAGATGACCCCGCGGGCGGCGACGGCGGCGACGGCAGGAGGCAGAAAGTTGCGCTATCATGCCATACCTAGGTATTTGGAGCATTTCCATACAGTGTCCCTGAGTGAGGTGCTTATATTGTTGCTTACACTGTGAGTTGCATGGTTTAAAAAATATCACAAAATCTATAACTTATTAGCTCTACATAACAATCTTGATCAAAACTTGACCTAAATCAGGGTAATTGACATGGCTATTTCCCCTGGTTTCAATGGCCTTGAGCATGTCATGGGTGACAATTTGTCTTCCAGAATTTCATCATCGCGGAAATCTTCGTCCGCAAATCTACGTCAACGCATTTCTTGGATTGTATGGTCATACTACGGATTACTGTAAAGTCATACTAACAAAACACAAAGTATACAGTAATTTCAGCTTACCTTCGAGGACTGGGACGCTTGCTCGGTTCTCTGACAGAAGGTCTTGGTTCTGACGACTTGAGCACAATGGCGGTCGCGAATGGTCGCGAACTGCAGAGACATTCCGAAAATATTATTCTTGGAATAATACTGTGCTGGACGAATAGATTAATCACTTTTAGATTAGTTATGTCACAACGGAATAGGATTATCAAGAAAGTGATACAGTATTGCTTGAAATACGCTCCCGAATACTCCCGAAGAATAATGTTAGTAATGCTACCACATAATATTACTCCATGGTTATAAAATTATTGTCCGGACATGATAGTTTTATCACGAAGGACGTAATTTTTACACCTACATGAGAATAGTTTTATTCTGTCGCGTCAATTTATCAGCCGTAAAGGAGTATAAAAATTACCCGAAATACTCCACAGCGGTTTATTTTTATGCAGTTTTGATAAAAGTACACTAGCTGTCAATTTTATTACCATCTAATGGGAGTTCAGCACAAATATATTCCAATGACCTTGTTTATCACTGTGAAATAAGCTAAAATTACCCCATGCCTCTTTGAGACTGATATAAATTTATAACCCGAAAGAATAAAAAGGACACGTGATAAAATTAGAAGATAAAATTAGCACTTGCTAAAACACAAAAGAGATGATCATAGTACCAGGTTTAAGAATAACTTTCAAAAACGCCCTTAATGCAATGCAGAGAGTAAGAATACGCTACAAAACATAATCATTATATGCCATTGGTGCGTGATTATTCGCCAAACTGGAGTGGAAAAACTCCAAAAATAACTCTCTAGGTGTAAGTTTTTTTCAGTGTGCACCTAATCTCTTTGATAACAAATATTTTGATACAATGAATTTATTTCAGTGTTATAATCGATGATAATGTCTGATGATATGACAAGGCAGGTAGTATAAGCAATTAGTGAAACCCTAGCTGCGAACATTTTTTTCTTATTTCGACATTAACCCGGTTTACATAGCATATTTGACGAGGTTCTAGCTCGTTAATTTGGCGATAATTTCGATGCAGTGGTCTTCAAATATTTAGAGGGGATCATTTTGTAAATTGTTCAGCACCATTGGCATCTTTTGCAACATCACGGACGGAGATATAAGCTTGCAACAAACCCTATGTAAACGCATCTATTGTAGACAAAGCGGCTCTTAGGCCGTGAACTAAAACTAAATCTAACTAAAAATTAACTAAAACTTAAACATAACTAACATTAAACTACACAACTAATGGAACTAAAACATCACAGAACACATATTGAAACTCGAAAATTTTTATGCTCAAGCACAATTGTTCTAATCTAAACGATTCGACTAAATTATATGCTGGGTCAGCGTCTTTGACGCGCGTTATACCTATCTAAAAAAGACGTTATGGCAGCAAGGAGGAAAGCGCTTTAACCCTCGCCGGCTGAGGGGGGCGGCGGGTGCCGCCCCCCCATAGGGTTTTTTCGCGATAGCTCCGAACACGCTGGCGATAGAGAGCTGAAACTTGGCATACCTGACCTTTGATCCAAGCCGGATCTTTTGACACCAACCGCATTTTTGGGTCAGGTCAGGTCACTGACCTATGACGTCATAAGTGAACCTCTGCACGGTCTTCAGATGTCGCAACTTCGCAACGCCCTCACTGCCAGAGGAGATGTCACAGGGAAATGAAACTTGCAGGATCTAGTATCCATTATGAGTCCCACAACTTGTATATCTCGGATTTTTTCTAAAGGTCATATGAGGTCAGGTCATTTTCGTGACCTCACCATTAGTCAGTCAATGGGGAAAAATGAAAACTGCTATTCTGGCGCCGGGAACGATCTCCAACTATCTCAAGCACACAGAATCGTGATTTGATGCACTCCTTGCAAGGTTAGATGCGTCACTTTTGCAATGTTGACCTTGCGTGACGTCATTTATGACGTCATCAAGGTCATATTAGTTTTTCGTCAATAACTCTTGATCAAATTGAGCTAGCGAGTCGGGAAAGCCACCAATGGACTCAGGAAGACCTGCCGAATCGAATGATATGCGACATGACCTCTTTCGACCAACTTCGAGACCTGGGGGTGCTGACCTGACCTTGACCTGAGGTCAACACCCAAAGTTGACCTGACCCGGGCAAAAAGTATATCATTCGACGCGCCTGAGCGAGACGAACACGATGCTGCCAAAATCGGCGCTCTGCGGCCGTTTTTTGCGAAGTTATTCACCAAAAACTGAACCGTACCTTGGGGCACTTGACCTGACCTCAGAGGTCACCGGTTGACCTAGGACCTTAAAATCGGGTACCAATCTCTGCGTCTCGTAACGGCGCACACGCTCGTTTTTTCCGCGACGCGCTAGCTCCACCAGGGGCGAAACGGCGAGGGGGGTCGTACCCGCCCCCCCCCCCTCGGCCGGCGCGTATGTAGAAAACCAATAGGTCCGGCGAGGGTTAACCCACGCCCCAGTGGCGGTCTTCGCCAACTTCGCCCTAGTGAGGGGGGGGCATATGTTACCACCCACCTCTAACTCAAAAACTAAGAGGGCTAGAAAGACGCGGTGAAAAGCAGTCGATAGCTCTTGATGCGTACGTTTGAAAGTATTTCGGTCATTTTTCATCTTAGAGCAATATTGGGGTCACCAGAGGTCATCAAAGGTCAAAATTTGCGAATTGTCATTATATTTTTCAGAAAACATGCCATTATCTCAGGAACTATGATAGCTAGAAAAACGCTGGGAAAAGCAATCGATAGCTTTTGAACTCTTCTTTTGATAATGTCATCATCAAAAATGACCTCAGGTCAACGGTTTAGCCTCCAGAGGGCAAAAACTCCAAAAATATTTATTTTTAAGAAGTGTTTTTCGACAATAACTTTTGACTAAAAAAAGCTAGGTCATTTCTAATGCCAGAATCGTGTTCCTCTCGCCGAGACGCGTCGAATGAACTATAAGTTGACCTTGAAAGGTCAACTTCAAAATTTGACCTCAGGTCAAGGTCATGACCTGACCGAAAAAGGTCATGTTGCATATCAGTCGATGCGTCTCGGCAAGACAAACACAATGAGGCCAACCCCAGCGTTCTATCTCTTTCCAATCGAGAGTTATTGGCAAAAAACTGTTTGTAGCCTCAAATGACCTCGGATGACCTTTCAAGAGGCTATCAGCAAAAAAGACACCTTGGTCGTCACGGGTGGTCCAAATCATTGTTATCCTGAAATATTTGGACTGTTCCTATGCATACACACGGATCTAGAGGCATTTTCGTTTTTCTCCATTGACTTATAATGGAAAGGTCACGCCACTGACCTGACCTTAGGTCACGCATATAAAAAATCCGAGATGTACAAATTGTAGGCACCCATAACATCATGTAATCCACCAAGTTTGAAACCTCTCTGACAAACACTGCAGGCTGGACATGATTGCAAACGTTTTTTAGGCTTGGTCAGTTAACTTGACCATAGTGACCTGACCTGACATGACCTGGGGTTAAAAATTTCACACATTGTCCAAAATTGATGTACCAAAAGCTACCCCAAGCGGCGCGGCGCTACGCGCCGCGGTTTTTTATTTATATGAAAAAAACGCGACAGGGTGGTAACATTTGCCCCCCCCCCCCACTGGGGCGAAGGTTAACGTACCTATATGTATAGTGTACTCGTATACCTACATATGCGCCTACATACCCTCCTTCAGCATTAATTCCTAATTGCGCAATGCGCGTCCTTCTCAGGCAATTAACTCACACGCAAGACGCTTCGGGCTCTGCGTAGTTACAGTTCCATGTCTACTGAAAACTAAATGTGCTCGTAATTACCAGGTCAAAGCTCAGTCTGCGGTTAGGCTGCGCCCACCTCCTTGGGGTATAAGAGCCGCCGATCAGCACAGAGTGGCATCAGTATCTCTTCCCAGTTCCGAGCTACCTGCAGCAGAGAACCATGAGGCTGATTGTGGTTCTGGCTGTGACGCTGGCCCTGGCGGCTGCCGCTGAGGACAAGGAGGACCACGACACCGCTCCATTGGCAGTCAGTGGGGACCAGGATACAGAGGCCAACAGATACTATTCACAGGGAGCCAGCTTCGGACGGTGAGTTGATGTGCACTTTGTCTCGACTTTCATGTCTTTTTTATTTTTGTTTGCACTTTCGGAGGCGAAATGAACGCATGTAATATCGTAATTTTCTGATAACATTCGGTCATTGGCTATGAAAGCTGGAATCTCGATATCGTAGCTTGTAGCCAATGATTTGGCTAAAATTGAAAATGGTATTGTAACATCAAATAACTATATCGCTTTTATTGCAGTGGTTATCCGGGCCAGTACGGTGGACGTCGAGGTTACTATGGCAACAGCCGTGGCGGCCGTGGCTTCGGGTACGGTCTGAACGGGTACAACGACTATGGCTTCGGTAACGGCGCCTACCGCGGCTACGGAAACCGTGGGATGTACGGCGGCTACGACCGGTCTCCCTACGGCTACGGCAGCCGCGGCTACGGCAGCCGCGGCTACGGCGGTCTCGGCAGGCGCGGTGGAGCCTACGGCGGCTACGGCGGCTACGGCCGGCAGTACGGCGGATTTGATGGTTTTGGAGCACGGGGAGGGAGATACGGCGGCAGATATAACGGCGGATACTTCTGAGCTATCCCACAGCGAACGTCAGAAGATCATGAGATGTGTTCACTTCATAGCACAGTGTCATACAGCAACAAATGTCTTTGTCTTTAGTTTTACGCGTTTATAACTTGACGGACGCTTTATCCTTTTGGCGACTAATGATTTCGTGTCTCATATTTGTGTGTTGTCATTTCTCTTTGTTTTTGTGCTGATAGGATGTTTGAAGAATGTCTCTTGACATAAATATACCAACATACAACAATGGCATATTATAAATCTCCCTAACCTATACAGTCTTCCTTGAGCAGCTTTAAACTTCGGACATGCGTGACGACACGGAGCCTACGGAGCATTTCGAAGTCATATACAGAAGACTACGGAGCAGGCATTTTTCTTTCAATATAATGGCAAACAACATAAATAATTAGGAACTTTGAACAAATGCTTGGAATAAAAACTTTAAACTATATAACCTCTTACACGGCCTTGACTATAACAGGACTAATTTTATTTTGCGGTGTCTTGCTCTCAATATAACCGTTTTCACGACGAAGTACGAACTGTATCTAGCAAAAGTACTGAATTTGGCCAATTTTATCCAAAGCTCTTTTAACCCGCGCCCCGTTGGGCTCTGCCGAGCAACGCGCCCGGTTGGGGGGGGCCATTTTGGCCCCCCCCCTAAAATCTCGAGAACCACGCAACATAGCGACAAGCGGTAAACGGCGTTGGATAGCCCCAACGGGGAACTACCTTGTGACCCAATTTTATTGACCTAGGTCAAACCGATGACGTCACAGGTCAGGTCAAAGGTCCAATTTTCACCGTTTACAGGCACTTCAAGAAATGCATTGTAAAATAGAGTAAAATGCATTTCATTGAAAATCATCGATGGGGAAATGTTCTTCAAACACATATTTTGCTATTTGAGGTCACTGATACCAGGTCAGGTCACAGAGGTCAGGTCACGGGGGGGGGTCACAATATGAAAGTGTCGTGTGATACATGTTTTATGGTCCATTTTACATGACAAATGCGATTATATGGGTCAGGCAGCCTTTGGGGCCAGCTTAGATCACGTTTTGGTCAAGGTCAGGTCAAGGTCAGGTCAAGGTCAGGTCAAATTAGGTCAAATTTCAAAATTAATATTTTTGCATAAAATGGGTATCGAATCGATGCAGCTCGTCACGGGGAGTTCAATGGTGGTCTTTGTTTTGCCGTACGTGGTCTAGAATCGCTAAAAATCGAGTTCAAAAATTTGACGTCATCATTTTTGAACAGTTTTTTTCGCTATAACTTGGCCAAAAAACGAGATATCGATCTGAAATTTGGTATGTATATAGAAGAGCGCTGGGACTATCACATATATTCCGGTTTTTTTCGAAATTCGGAAAAATTTTGGATTTTTTCAAAGTTTTTCTAAAAAATCAATTTTTTGATTTTTTTTTTGGTCCAAAACCAAAAATTTTGAAAATCCGAGATAGCAGTTTTGTAGCGCCGCTTTTTGTCTACTAAACCATATAAAGAACTTTGAAATTGCTTGATAACTGTAGATTTGGTGAGCGTTTCAAGATTGCATGTTTTTTGCTCATTTTTGCTCGAACATGACCTCAGTTTGACCTCAATAACTCCTGACCTAAGGTGACCTAAGACTTGAAATTTGGTGTGAAGGTGTCAAATTGATGCCCGGGAAGGTACTGAAAATTTGGCGGCGCTGCGCGCTGCCGTTTTCTTGCTATTCAGGAAAAACCACAGGGGGGCCAAAATGGCCCCCCCAACGGGGCGAGGGTTAAAGCAAATATTTTCAATAAATTCATGCATGAATTTATTCCAATGTTTCAATAGGTATATGAGGACCGTATGGGTTAGCGGGCAATAGTACAAAATATTGCCCGATTTGACGTCACGTAGCCCGAGGGTGACGACCGAAACATGCCTTATTGCCAAAGGCGTGACCGAGGACAATGCTGCTTGTCGAGGTCTTCACCCGAACTAGCGCAACCCAAGCTGAAAACTACTAAGAATCAATTATGGACCCAACTTCATTAAATCTCACCAAATGTGACCGAATGTGAGCCACATCATTTTCGTGAGAAGAGCTGATGTCGTCCTTTTTAGCTTAAATAATGTCCTCAAAGATGTTAACCCAATTTAGGCTGTTGGTATGATAAAATTGTTAATGATAAATTACGTTGCGCATTTTGAAGGGGCGTATATGCTAAAATACACATAAAAGTACCTACTTATGGCATGCAGCAGCGAGCCGAACTTTCATTTTTGACTTCATGTGCACATTTTAAGTCGTGAGCCAATACGTTAATACCATAAGTAACATTTACCGGTTGTGGATAACAGCACTTCATTTGTATAAATTATATAATAAATGTGGAGATTTCTGCAACTTTTTAGTATCACGTGGAAAAGACAAAGGACACAAAATATTGGGATCAACCACCAATAAATGACCTCTGAATTCTGAAATGGTTGCGTTAGCGGTGACTGCATGCTTTCCAGAGATTCGCACACAAAATGGTAGCGGTGTTTCTCGGAAAGCGTCATGTACCTGGGTTACAGGAGCAAGTAAATACGTATCAGGAGCGGATTTTCCTATTCACTGACCACTGTAGACCGTTTGTAATAGAGGTACGTACACATTTACTCAGCCCATATAATCCCGGTCATGGTCGCGTCACGCGCCTCGGCTGTGCTAAAAATATGAGTAAAAACATCTTGATAGTCTCGACTAACATTTTTTCAAAGCTTTAAAAATGTATAGTCACCATTCTTATGTTACCACCACTCTCAGTCGAATAATCGGTCACTCTAAATATTTAACAAAAAACATTCCGGTTCACCAGCTACGGATTAGCTACTGGTGTTACCATGGGCATTGGGCAGCCTGAGCCTTGAGCCTAGTCTCTCACGGGGCACTGCATGGTCACTCAGGAACTGATGCCCTTGGAAACGGGGTATATCATTCGCAGATGCTTGATAGTCGTATGAAATTCTTATTATATAAGTTTGTCACAGCATATATTCATACGGTGTGAGAAACACAGTTAGCGATAGACACCAAGATACACACAAATGGCGCATCATTCTACACCTCGCGATAGTCGCAGGACGCTTTTGCCCAAATGACCCAACAGAGGTAAAAAAATAAATTTCAAGCATATCCATCAGCGTGTGATTCCATTGTGACACGGTCAGTAGTCAGAAGAGCCAAAACATTCAAGAAATCGCAGCATGCGTATTTCAATAGTATCCACCACTGTAGCCGTCGCCGTACGCCCCAGCACGTCCCCCGAACGCACCCATCCCGCCGTACTGCCGACCGTAGCCGCCGTAGCCGCCGTAGGCTCCACCGCGCCTGCCGAACCCGCCGTAGCCGCGGCTGCCGTAGCCGCGACTGCCGTAGCCGTAGGGAGACCGGTCGTAGCCGCCGTACATTCCACGGTTTCCGTAGCCGCGGTAGGCGCCGTTACCGAAGCCATAGTCGTTGTATCCGTTCATACTGCGTCCGTAGCCTCGGCTGCCCCGACCGTTGCCATAGTAACCACGACGACTGCCGTACTGGCCAGAACCACTGAAAAAGTAGATACACAGATAATAATTATATGTATAGGCACTTTTCTCACAAGCAGTGTATTTTTGTCATAAACGGTTATGCCGATATAATATAAGAAAATAATCTGAAATGTGCCTGAAAAAAGCGCCTAATTTGTGCGGAACAACTCACCGTCCGAAGCCTGCTCCCTGTGAATAGTATCGGTTGGCCTCTGTATCCTGGTCCCCACTGACTGACGATGGAACGGTGTCGTGGTCCTCCTTGTCCTCAGCGGCAGCCGCCATGGCCAGCGTCACAGCCAGAACCACAATCAGCCTCATGGTTCTCTGCTGCAGGTAGCTCGGGACTGAGAGAAGAGATACTGATGCCACTCTGTGCTGATCGGCGGTTCTTATACTCCAAGAACGGTAACCACAGCCTGAGCTTTGAACCGACAGCCGCGAAATGGATGAACTTTATCATCATAATAAAGATGTAACTATGTTGATGTGAAGTTATCTACTGTTTGAGCTAATTGACCGTGCCTGGAAGGAGGATGCATAGGTGTAAACAAGCTTAGGAATGCGTATTCTGCCTACAAAAGTACATAGGTCTCTCATTAATTCGTTTGACGATATGTGTTTTTAGTTGTGAAATGGTTCTACTGTTATCTATGGATCAGTCAATTGAGCTCATCATATTTCCATCAGGAAAGCTTAGTCTCCGGTAACATATACAATAATCTATTGCATATTAACGATGTTTCCAGGAAAACTGCAAAGTATACGGTAACATAAGCACGAGACTGCACAGCTCACTACGGCAATGCGCTTGCAGTCGTTATTGGAAATTTCAATGATGACCTTCACAAACAGAAAGTTACTGCAACTAGCCCTGGAGTGCCTCAACTCCCGGAATGAGCACACTACACGAACAAACGAAGACACGCACGACCGGAGTGCATTTGCCATCGATTTTATTACACCGTTCCAATAACATTCGCAAAAATTGGATTGGTAATTACATTTAAACTGCTGTTGATGGAGTAATTGTGAGTTAATCACCGATATTAACTTAGCAGTTTGACTCTCTGCCAGGGTTGTTAGCAGGCTGTATGAGTCTTGACAAAGGCGGGGAAGCTACATGTGTCGTCTATTTACCCATGGGTAAATAGACGGGTAAATAGAATGCATTCTAACATGAAACACCGACCATATTCAAGGTTAAACGATATTCGTAGTCACCCGCTTCTGGAGTAATGTTTTCTAACTCTCAACATCTTGCTTGGTTTCCTTAAATACACAAGAAGACCTGTCGCGTAAAAGGTTCGAGTCAAATGAAGTGTTCAGAATACACAACAGATCACTCAAGTTCAAGAAAAAAATCAAAAGTCCGTGCCGACGCGCTGACGCATCAAATATTCGACTCTAAACTATGCCAGGAAGGTACTAACTACTAATCCAGACGTTCCCAATAGGATGAAAAATGAAGAAGGCCCGGTCCCTTGCAAAATGCCCTATTTAGGTATAGTCGACTACAGAATAATGTTCTTCTCCTCAGAAGCTATCAGTTGACCGGAGCGCTAAGTTGTGCCGTTTATCACGCAATTAAGCGTGTCGATTGTGGGCGTTGGGACAAAGCTATAATTTGTGAACTCAGCCCGTGTGATGCGGCACAGCCTACCACTCCAGGCAAATAATTGCATGTGAAAAGTGAAACATCATTCTGTGGTCGACTATACATAGTCTTTGACTCCGGGAAGCTCCTTATATAAAACATTCAAGCCAAAAATCAAAATTAGAGTGAAACAAAGACAGCAACGTAGGTAACCATCTTACAGCAGACAAGATCACCTTTTGGGGTCTGATCCTTTCCCAGATGATAAAGTCGGAGACGAGACACTTCAACCCTCCCATAGTTATAATTTCATGTATGTAGACCGGGAACATAGGATACATTTCGCGGCTGTCGGTTCAAAGCTCAGGCTGTGGTCACCGTTCTTGGAGTATAAGAACCGCCGATCAGCACAGAGTGGCATCAGTGTCTCTTCCCAGTCCCGAGCTATACCTGCAGCAGAGAACCATGAGGCTGATTGTGGTTCTGGCTGTGACGCTGGCCCTGGCGGCTGCCGCTGAGGACAAGGAGGACCACGACACCGCCCCATCGTCAGTCAGTGGGGACCAGGATACAGAGGCCAACAGATACTATTCGCAGGGAGCCGGCTTCGGACGGTGAGTTTTTTTCGCCCAAATTAGGTGCCTTTTTCTTTTTTTCAAGCACATGTCAGAATAATCATCAATGGTATTAGCCATTAGGCAGGTACTTTCATTTATAACAAAATGCACATTCTATAAAAATGCGTGTATGACAATGTATCCACTTTTTTCAGTGGTTATCCTGGCCAGTACGGCGGACGTCGTGGTTACTATGGCAACGGCCGTGGCAGCCGAGGATACGGACGCAGTATGAACGGATACAACGACTATGGCTTCGGTAACGGCGCCTACCGCGGCTACGGAAACCGTGGAATGTACGGCGGCTACGACCGGTCTCCCTACGGCTACGGCAACCGCGGCTACGGCAGCCGTGGCTACGGCGCGTTCGGCAGGCGCGGTGGAGCTTACGGCGGCTACGGCGGCTACGGCGGGCAGTACGGCGGGATGGGTGCGTTTGGGGGACGTGCTGGGGCGTACGGCGGCGGCTACAGTGGTGGATACTATTGAGGTTCCCATGTCTACAGCACGAATCACACGAACTACATCTTGAAAGGCATTGTTTAAGTCTATCCTGTTCTACCATTGGTTATCTCTTTGTGACAGCGTCATTGGCTGCACTTGCGTACGAAAGTGCAAACACGACTTAATGCCATTGCATGATTCGCGTTAGCATGATGCAAGTACGTATGGAAATACATTTCTAATGCACGAATGGTGGTGTAATGCAGACGGGATAATCAAAGACTGTGTCAGCTTGTTGCCTGTTGTCACAATCAAGGTCTTCTTTTGCGCTTCTTCATAAACAAGCAAAGTACGTTCGCTGTCCCTCTTAGCCTCTTTTCACATGCAACATATTCTTCAAAGTTTCTATCTTTTCTGCAATTTGTAGTGCACCTAATCATTTTTTCATAACCTATTCTCGGTCTTCTGTTCTTCCTGTCTACCGCCCCGCATGTTCCATCCCTTTAACAGCTCATGTTCGGGCCATCCCAGCCGTGCAAACTGCCATTATACCATACCACCCTACCCTACCGTCGCGGCGCCTCCGCAGCCCGCCGCTCTCCCTCGCTCCCCTCCTCTCTCCCAGCTCGCTCGCTCTCCTGTCGTTCCAGCCGTCAGTAGCCGACCTGACCCAGTGGTGAAGTGTGGTGCCAGCCGGCTCTCACGAGAGCTCCGTTCAGTGCAGTGAGGCGCGGGTCACAGCGGTCGGTCGGAGCCGCCAGCGAACTAGCCGAGCACGGGTCGCTAGATTTGCTACGCAAAGGATAAAACAGAAAACAGGCAGGTATGTTGACAGGGCATATGAGTACCCATGGATCCCCTCCCCCCCCCTGTTCATTTTCAATTTCAAACGAACATAAAAATTTGCATTTATACGAAGGGTAATCCTGCAGCCGAAGCAAGACTTCCTTGCTATTATGACCTGACATGACCGAGGATGTGACATTGGCTGCCGACCATCATTCAATTGCTGCATTCTTCACATTCACAATAGGCGTTTTCACGGTGGCCATCTAGTAAGCACGCATTTGGTGCAGATTAGGTGAAGATTCGGTGCAGATTTGGTCAACTTATGTTCAGTGTGTTTCTTAGAAGCTATGAAGCTGGGCTGCACCGATGCTTATATGCCTCATTTTTCACATTATCAGACATCATTTTCCATAATACACTTAAATAAATTCATGATACGAAGATATCTATTGTAAAAAAGATTTACTGTTAACGCCAGACCCCTTGAGACCCTAATTTTTCGCGATTACTTTTAAATGCGTGAAGGAATTTCAACCAAGCTCAGGACATGGCCGTTTCAAGACAGGCCGAAACTTTTACAATTTAGATATTTTATCGCCATTTCAATATTTCAGGCACTTGTCATTGACTCGTAATGTTAACTGTTTTTCCATCCTGGATAGAGGCTTTCTACGTCATATCAGTCCCACGCACAAGGGGGAAAAGCTCAAATTATTGAGCGCTCAAAATATTGAGCGTGTGACGTCAGAGGCTCCCATAGGCGTAATGCTGAGGGCTCAAAAAATTGAGCCGTTTCAGGAACACGTTTTGCAAAAGCAACTCGCAACACCTAGGGAGAAATGGCAACACCCTAGGAGAATCACTAATGATGCAAAACAGATTAGGCTTTCATATTTTTCACTGCTCAAGCTTCAATGATTGGGGGAACACCAATTTCTAGGTCGAAATCTTACGGCATACCAGGATGCCTTAAAAACAGGCCAATATTTATGTCGAAATAAAAGTTATTTTTTGTCCATTCACGTTTTTTACTAGGGTTCTGTTGGAAAGAGCATTTTTCATACTACCCAAAATGATTGCGACTCAATTTCACATCACCCATATCGGAGAATATTTTTCATTTGGCGGCGCCGTTTGTTTATTTCGTCGCGACGTCTCCGGTCGCGTGGTTGTTGTCGTCCTTGTGTTGAAGGTAAGTTTTTATCGTTTTAGTTATACTTAGATGTTAAAAGGTACACTGAAAAGTTTGAATATGCTGTGATTTTAAATTTGGAAACACGTAAACGTCAATCAACTCACGTTTTCCTCGATTTGCGTGCAGATAAGTAACTGTCGACGAAAGTGGCGCCATCCGATATGATGTTTTGAGGGAAAGAGACACAACATATTTACGTGAAAATTTTTGTTTTTTAGTGGTCTAAGTGCTTCAAAGAGGCTGTGAATGTTTTCTTCACACAATTTTTCATTAGGTATGATGAAGTAAAAGGTAGTTTCAGTCTTAACTTTAATATAATTGACATTAAAACATATGATAGTCCACTGCTATCAGTGATTGAGTACCTTGATATTTGGCATTTCTTATTAATTTGAATGTATTCTCTATCCATATGTCCTGATAGTAAGTGACAATACTCTGCCAATATGTTTCCATAGTTTTCACATTCATTTTCCAGTCCTCAACATAACATCACAATTTATAATCAACAAAACTCAACTCCTTCGTTACTTCGCAACACTGACAGCATGACAGACTGACAGTCAACTATTGTGTGTGTGAATGCTGAAACAGGATAGCCACTTTGCTGACTGGCTCATTTGAAATAAGATAAAAATGATCCTTTATATCATTTCCATCTGGAGGATCGGAGTCAACGGAAAAGGAAGGCCACTTTCAAGCCTGAAGGTCTAGGCTGCCAGACGCCAGTTGGCAGTCACCACCAAATTTATAATAGATTAATTCATTATTATACTTTGAGACCCTTAGGTCACTGGATCGACATCACATTTTCAGTTTCAATATAGTAAAGGTTTTTATTTGTATGATGTGAAATATTTTCCTGAATCAGAATTTAATTATCCCTAGGTACCTGGTAGAGGTTTCGGATTTAATGCTCATTGTTGGTGTGCAGTCAGGATTTTTTGACAGGTCCAGATAGGGAATCCTGAGCAATTTTATAGTAAAGTGGTCTCCTTATAATCACCACACATTTTATCAAAAGCATTTGTAGAATTCATTCAAGGAAGAATTTTATCAATGTTGCACCCATTTCTTAGACGACCTAGGCTGCATCTTTTTTTAGTTCCTGTTGTATGACATATTTTCCATTTTGTTCCACTGCATAAAGAAAAAAAATCGTTTGAGATCACCAAACAGCTTTTCTTTTTCTGGCAGGTCTGCACAACCAAGTGGTCGCTGGCGAGGACGTCGGCCGTCCCTGTGGGTAAGGTCATCTGCTCAGCCTTTGTGGAGATCAGCAAGACGTCACCAAGATGAAGACTTCGCTGGAGCAGAAGCCGCTGACCCGTGTCCGATCGGGCAGGTCATGCTCGACGGCACGAGCCACAACTTGAACGACTCGGTGACATCAACAACATGGTGGAGCAGGTGAATGAGTTTGGCGACGTGTTGTGCGACTGCAAGAAGGGTTGTCTGCGTGTTCTGGCCGGCGGAGCGGCGACGCTGCGCAGTCTGTGCTGGTGGTGAGCAGCTGGCCGTGGTGACCGCGCGCGCCCACATGCGCCGACAACCTGTGCGGCTTCGACGGCCCCGGGACAGCCCGATGCCGCCCACTATGCGACGCCGACCGCGCACTGTCCGCACGGCCACATGGAGGTGTGCCCGCGCCTTTTGCCCGCACGCCGCTACCTCGCAGCTGGTCTGCAACCACGCCGTCGCCGCCTGTAGCCCGATAACAAAACGGCTGTCTGATAATGCCGCGTGTTCTTTGTGATGTTGCTACTGTGATGGCTGCTACTGCTGGTCTGAGACTCGATGTTTCCATTCGTCTTTTACATGTTAAGGATTTGATAATGATAAGCTTAGTCCGAGCTTAGGTCGTTTATATAATTTGTTGTATAGCATATCTTGGATCAAAGCAGTACGACACTGCCTCCTGCTTTTGTGATGTATGCTGGCAAGACGCAGGTTCCGGTCGCAGGTCACCCGGTTCCAATGTGGTCGGGCTGGCATGCGATAATGTGATGTTGTTTTGCTCGTCTCTGTGTTCCACACTTGATGATGTTTGTGAATATAACCCACATTGTATAGTATTTTTGTTTGTTTGCGGCCGATGGCCTTGTAAGTTGTAACCGTGGCAATACAGTTTTTCCTGTGTAATTCTCCAATATTCAAGCGTGGGTGGATATCTTTCTGTAATCACGTATTCCCTTCTCCCAGTACAGTCAGAAAATATCAATACAGTATTCATACGGATTATTCAAGCCCTGTATGACTATTTGAGGTGTGCCGAATCCGAAAGGCGACCGATAAAACTACTAGCGGAAAATGTGACATGATGCCATGGGTTTGTGAAAAGTTTAGGTACCACGTAGCATTCAACTTCCTGCATTTCTGTTTCAACTCAGTTTAACGTATTTCAACGAACATAACATCAAAAATGGCAGCCAGTACCGGCTCCACCTGTCACGGAGAAGGCTCAATAAATTGAGTGTAGATGCTGGCCGGCACTCAATTTTTTGAGCGCCAGCTGACTGTCGTCTGTCGTGGCGCTCAATTTATTGAGTATCGCGGTCCCGAACGACAAGTGGCGCTCAAAAAGTTGAGCGTCTTTAGGGCATTTTCTTTCCAAAAACACCGATATAAATTATCACGGCGAGTGTTCGAGAAGAAACCTGGTTGCTCTCTCTTGCCATTGATACCTTATTTGGATACGATATTTGCCGTAGTGTGACGCTAGAGGCATTGTAAAATACCATCGTTTCGCCTATTCCTTCATAATGGGGCCCGCTCAATTTTTTGAGCGCTCAATTTTTTGAGCTTTTCCCCCTTGTGCGTGGGACTGATATGACATTAGGCTCCGCCCACGACTGCGGCATTGACCCGTGCCCATCAGCGACCTCTGTACAAACGACACCCCTGCCATCTGTGAAGGACTATGAATTTCGCTGACGCTTCACGTGCTATGAGTCAATTGCAGCAGACGGTCAAGTAAATGTTAGGCTCTTGTTGACTCTTGTATATAGGACCAAGAGGACCATCACTCCTCAACCTACTACTCAGTCGTGCTTCGAACAAACGTTAACGATTCCTAACAAATACGATTTTCGATGTAGGGTATCTGTTTGAAATACGAGCGAGCCGTATGATGTGAAGCTCAGGCAATTAACTTATTATTGCGTTGTTCGATGGTTGCATAGCGATGTACAAATCGGCAGCTACTTGGTGACATCCGACATCCCATTATCGCATTATCTGCAACGCCATAGGCTTTACATACAGGTGAATATTTCCTAACCTTATGTCAGTTATATCAGTCGGTGACACACCAGGGAAATAAGCTAAAATTAGAGCACTCTATTTATTGCTCCCGCTACTTCACCGTCTCCCATAGGGTCCTGTGTTGAGCTGGTGTCGAGGCTCTAAAAATGACGCCGATTTTTGCACCCTTCTCACGAAAACCGCTCGGACCGCCTGGAAACCAATTGTTCCGCTCTAAAAATTTCATGATCGACGGGAAAATGAATGAGGAAAAGATTGGTCCTGAAATAATTCTGAACTCCCTGTAGAACATATCGAAATATGGCTGCAAACTAGGAGCATGTCAAAATCGACAAAACAATACAAATAAACTTACAGGGATTTTTTTATTTTCCATGCATCTGTGTATGAAATCAGTCGGTTTTTCGGAAAGATCATCTTCTGTTTAATAAATAATTCCACAATTGCAATCGAGAAAAAAAAAAAACATTTCCGCTGTGACAACAGTTTTGGCATTGTGCCAGTAGTGTGGCGTGCGCGGTGCTGCGTGGTCGTCGGGACGGATTTGTGAGTATTTTCGGTGTTTTAAATGGTTG